TTGTTATTTATTTTACAAAGATACGCTAAAATACCAAGGATGTATTTGTTTGTACCTCTGATTAGACTATTATTTTTTGCATTACATTTTTGAATTGTAATCTGAAATAATTTATATTTTGACTTTTTTTTTTTTAATTTTCCAATAGTAATATTTGTTTATTACAGTATAAATGTGAACCGTGTGATTTGGCACAGCTGTCCTATGTACCATCGTACCATGTGTTTTAAAAGGTGGCCTTCTTTGAAACCCATGGGAACTGCCAGGGCTGACCTTTTTTGAGCACGAGTTTAAACATGTATAAGCCTAAAGGGAACGTCAAAGCTAATAAAATGTATCAAATGATCTGTTTTTCATGTACAAAAAAGAAGTTAACATTTACAATGTGTTTAAATCTTTGTAAGTGCTATCTTTTTAACCTAAAATATACCAGGAAGGAATCTTCGATAGTAGAAATTTTAGCTGCTCACATTTAATGTAGATGGCCATGTTCCCAGAGAGATTCTGTGGGGGTGCTGCTGGAGAAGGATGGGCCGGGGTCATTTTTAAGGACTATTCAGACACTGTTTACCTAAATCAAGATCTGTGTCCACATCCTTGATACAAATTTGTACTCAGTTCACCTGGGCTGTTCTTATTCTCTTAGCATTTGTGGTGTTCATGCACAGGATCACAAGCCACAGTCGATGAAAGTGGGGTGTCTGGTTTGGGAACCTCAGAGTCTTAGCTCTGCTTTTTGTGGATGATGTGGTTTGTTTGGCATCTTCAGGCCATGACCTCTAGTGTGCAATGGCACAGGTCACAACCATCTGTGAAGCAGCTGGGATGTGAGCCAGCTCTTCTAAAGCTAAGACCATGGTCCTCAACCAGTAAAACATGGAATGTTCCCTTCAGGCCATGAATGTGTCTTTGCTTCAGGTGGAAGACTTCAAGTTCTTGAGTCTGGGAGATGGATTGGAACTATGTCTGTAGTAACGAGGGTGTTGCTCCAGTTGTGTTTGTGGTGAAGAAGGAGCTGAGTTGAAGGTCACAGGTATGGGTCACAACCAAAAGAAGATTATACAAGTGGCTGTTCTTTGTAGGGGGGTGTGCTCAACCTTAGAGAGAAGGTGCTCAGAGTGGAGCCACTGCTCCTCTATATTATGATGAGTGGTGGCGCAGAGGTTAGAAGATGGGCCTGTGATCAGAAAGTCGCAGGTTCACCTCCCGGTACCGTCAACATCAAAAAAATGTGGGTGGAAAAGGTGGAACACCCACACCTCCCTCCACCCTCAATTGCCCCACTCTGGGCCCCTGAGCAAGGCCCTTAAGCCCCACCATCTGCTCCCTAAACAGGTCTCTCTTGAAAATGAGTTCTCGTGGCTCAATGAGACTACCTGGATAAATAAAGGGTCAATGAAAATATATATATATATTGAAAGGAGTCAGTAGAGAACGTTCTGTTATGTGATTAGAATGCTGCTTTTGGCAGGGTTTCTGGGTATGTTCTACTAGGAGGAGACCCTGGGGCAGACCTAGTCTCTCTGGAGGGTATGTCCTCATTGGCCTGGGAACACCTTGGGGTCCTCCAGAAGGAGCTGGAGAATGTGCTGGGGAAAGGGGTGTCTGTTGTTCTCTCCTAAACCTGTTGCCTCTGAGACTCAACTACAGATAAACAGCAGAAAATAGATGGATATTTAATTTATCGAGATTTTATTTCTTCTTCAGGGCAGCTGTGGCTGAGTGGTTAGAGCAGTCGTCATCAATGGGAGAGTTGGGGGTTTGATTCCATTAGCAGTCACATGCCGAAGTGTCCCTGGGCAAGACACTGAACCCCTCATTGCCTCTGATGTGTGTCCCATCAGTGTATGAATGTGATAAAGCTCTGATTAGTCTCTGTATAGATCTAGTAGAGTGTTGTATGAATGGGTAAATGAGGCACAGATTGTGTTGTAGAGCTTTGAGTATCTTGATACGATGTAAAGGTGCTGTATAAGTACAGTCCATTTACTATTTTTTTAAAGACATGTTTTTGACAAAAGCTGCAAAAGCTCTCTAACTATTTAATTAAAAACGTAACAGCTTATACAGTTTTAGGAGAATAAAAAATAACAAGTAACAGACTGAATAAAACATAAGTAATGTTGATAGTAAACTGTCAACATTTAATTGCTATTTTATGTTGTGGCAAAACAATGACTAAACTCTGGTATAAAACAAACTATAGTTTCTTGCAAAGTCTTCATTTAAACTAAATTAGTCACAGAGTCATGCTGACTTGTTTGAGTTTTTGTTCTTTTTGTGCAAAATAATTAGAATGTGTCTCACTTTAATATTTTATGTACAAAGTACATCTTTTGCACCACACTTGTTATAATGTTATTGCACTAAACATTTCTATGTAGTTTTTGGTTAAAGCTACTAAAACACACTGTGTGTGTGTTTGTGGGGCTGGGGGTGGATAAGAGCCACATTGTTGTAGACCTCCCATTTAATCCAACTAAAGCTACAAAGTAAAATCATTTTTGTAAACTTTTCTTCTGTGAAAAATTTGTCTTACTTTTGTGTATGTAGTTATACAAACTTTGAAGCTACATGTACTGCACTGTTCATGTGTAGTTACTATAATCACCAAGTGTCGGATGAGGGGACTGAGCTCTGCAGTGATACAACAGAAGGACTCTCATCGCTAGGTCCAAACTGCCAGTTGCATAAATAAATATAGGTTGAATGAAAAAATAATAATGCGTCTGTGTGTTCTGTGAATGAAGGAAAGAGGAAGAGATTCCCTCCTCTGTCTCTCAGAGCTTGTCAGGAAAAAGCTTTATTGTAGAGGAGCACGAACAGATTGAATTCACTTCAGTTGATTTATACAGAGCCAAGTCTCAACAGGTCATCTCAGGGCACTGAACAGAAACATTCACATACATTATAAATGCCAATCAGTGGTGGTGCAGAGGTTAGAAAAGGTGGGCCTGTGATCGGAAGGTCGATGGTTCAACTCCACGCACCAACAACATCAAAATGTGGGTAGGAAAGGTGGAACACCCACACCTACCTCCACCCTCATCTCC